TAGGCCCCCCGTGCTGCCCGACAGTCAGGCCACCTTTCCCAGTCCATTGCGTGCTCTCTCTTCCTCCTCTCTTCTAAGCCCCCTTCCACCTCCCTCCTCACTTCCTGTTTCACTGAGGAATCTGCAGAGAAGCAATCGGAAAGGCACCTATGAGCATCTGCCTCTTTCTATCTCCCAGCTCCGGGCCCAGACCCTCAGCTTCTTGCCCTCCTTCAAGATGAATGAACTGCCTGGGTTCCCTCCGAAAGCTGGCTCCCTCCCCATGTGCTCCAGAGCCTGCACCTGACTCTTACTCAAGGATTTCACTGCAGCAAGACTTCCTTCTTGCATCAGCAAATTTTCTTTCTTTTAGTAACTTCTATTAGCATATACACATGCTGTTATTTCCACTATCTTAAAAGCCTAATTTTTGTGAGTGTGTGATATGGTGAGCTTGAAATCATAGGGTCAGGCCTATATAAAATGCTATCATAAATACACTGCAAACCCAGGATCTGGGCTTGGCTGCTCTTGGGAGCCCACGATGCCTCTCAAACCAGTCAAGGGCAGGCAAAGCCTTCTTCCTGCCCTTCTCTGCCCCCGCAGCTCTTCAAATCCTGCCCAATTCTGCCATTCATTGACTTTCCTCTGGCTGACACCTCTAGGACTTAGGATATTCCCTATGTTCTCTCCAGACACCTCCCAGCCAGGCTCAGTTTTCCAAGTGTGTTTTCCTATACTGTATTCTCATCATGTGCTGTCGTCAGGGAGCCACATCAGGACAAATAGCTGGAGAGGAGAGCCAGGTCCCTCTCCTGCAAAAGCCTGACAGAGGAAGATCCCTGAGACTGACAGAGGAAGAGTCCTCAGTGGGGAGGAAGGGAGAATGAATACCGTGGGAAGGTAGTTTTATGCAATAAATCCATCCTGGGCTGCACCAATAGCCAGTAAGGCCTGCAGGAGATGGGGAGGGGAGCGAGGGCTGTTGGAGCTGAGGACTGAAGGTGGGGACATCGCCCCTAGCACATGGCTGTGGAGAGAAGGGACAGCTCAGCATTCTGCTGAGGTCCACTCTGCTCAGGGGCCCCTGGCACGTACTGCCTCAGGATGAAGTCTCACTCAGCCTTGGACTAAATAGGGTCAGGCAGGCCTGATACAAAAATGGAGGGGCCGGCTAGAGCCTGCACACATCACTTGAGGGCCTACTATGTGCAGGCACCTCTGGGAAGACCCCTTCCTTCTTTCCCACACGCTGGCTTGTTCCTGGCTTGCTGAGTCGCTGGGGTGGCTGATCTGCGTGCTAGCACTCCCCCTTCCTTTCTTCCTGTTATTGTGACCTTCAAACTGTAAAGAGCCAGGCAAACCCATTCTCTCTGCACACCCAGTGAATTCGCCGGGGTTCTCCAGAGAGTATGCATGTATGTGTGTAGCAAGGAGGAAGAGAGATCTGTTTTAAGGAGTGGGTCTGTGTGATCGTGGAAGTGCAAGTCCAAAATCTGCAGTATGGGCCAGCGGGCGGGGAAGAGCCGCAGTTCTGGCCTGAAGGTGGTCTGCTGGCAGAACCCCCTCTTCTTCCAGGGAGGCCAATTTCCTTCTGTTAAGGCCTTCAATTGATTGGATGCATTATGGAGAGTAACCTGCTTTTCTCAAAGTCTATTGATTTAAATGTTAATCTCATCTAAAAAATAACTTCACAGAAACATCTAGAATAATGTTTGGCCAAATATCTGGGTACCCTGGCCTAGCCAAGGTGACACATGAAACTCACCCTCACCCCCAGTGTGTAAAGCCAAGGATATTTTGCACCCTTTGTCCAGGAGCCCCACGGACCTCACTGTAGCACCCATACAGGGTCTCTAATACCAGAAGCAGCAGATGTATCTGGTTCCACCCTCATATCCTGTAGCACAGGGCTGAGGCCAGCACTGTTCCTGGGCTATCGGAGCATGCAGGATGAGCAGCTGGGCTCCAGAACTCTGTAGCACCCACCATGGCGATGCCCTGAGCCCAGGACATGCTGAAAGTATGCGGTGTTATGCCACCTGTAGGGACAAACCCTGCCTGTCCTCTGGAAAGGCCCATGGCTTGGGCCTCAGCTGCACCTGGTGTTATGTTCCTAAATAGGAACATAGTGGGGGAGTGCCGTGTGGCAAGACAGCGCCTTATACCAAAGAACCCGAAAAGAGCACAACAGGGCCATGCTTCTCATATACTTATAATAATCAGAAACTAAAACTATCAAAATGCTTCTGGGGCAGTTCACTCCAAAGAGTTCCAGAAGGTCGAGGCAGGTACAAACTTAGCTGCCAGAATTCAGACGTGGAAACTTCTCACCCTCGTTCAGTCTCTTTCCTTCCCAGCCCTTCTGCATTACAAATCTTCATCATCAAAAGTCTCCATGCACCTCAACATTATCATCTCATCATCAATGGGAAGGTCTGGTTCCTGCAAAACACAGGGTAGAAGAGGTTTACATTTTTATTCAAGGGTTCCAGGCCCCAAGCAGATAGGAAGGCCCAGGTATCTTGGGTGTGCCCAGCTGTTCCCATCTACCCTGTATCTCTTCAGGGGCACTTTCATCTCCAGCTTCCAGCCAGGAAGTGGGGGCTATAATAGGGATGGTCCCTTTTCCAGTTCACTCAACAGTCTATGACATCCAGAAAGGATATAGCAGGGCTGGCCAGTCAGCTCAGTTGGTTAGAGCCTGGTGCTAATAACACCAAGGTCTAGGGTTCAATCCCTGTACCAGTCAGCAAAAACGTTGGGGGTAGAGGGTGAAGGATATAGCAGAACTGGCTTCTTTCCCGTCCTGGGGATTTCCAGGATCCCATAAGAGAGACAGGGAAATCGTAAAGATGAACTACCCCAGGGTGCACCCACCAATGGAGCACCACGCAGCTGTTTTTATAAAAAAAGGAATGATAGTGCTCTATCTGGTGTACACGATTTAAAAAGGCAAAGTGTAAAACAATGTGTGTAGTAGCCACCCCGCCCCCCAAAGGGGGGACAACTGCTAAGGGACGGTCACCCGATGTGTTTGTAAGCATATATAAATATATCTGTAGAATATCTCTGGACGGATGTACAAGAAACTGGGCATGGCAGTTGCTTCTGAGGAAAGGTACGGAGTAGTATGCCAGGGACACTGGTAGGAGACAGACTAAGTTTTCATTGTATATCTTTTGGTAACTTTTGAATTTTACACCATGTACATGGGTTACCTATTAGGGGATGACTTTTTAAAGAAGCAGTGTTATGTTTGTCTAGCAAGAGTTTCTTTTTCCCTTTACAATGACCCCAGCCAACTTCTCAGTACTCCCCATTAACTCTTCCCATAAAGTATGTTCCAGAATTTTTGCTCTTCCTGTGTCTCCCCATCTCAGCAGAAAATGTCCCCTGTCATTTGTTAGCCCTGCAGATTGGGCCTGGGGCAGCACCCCTAACCCCAGCCAACCGTCTAATGAGTATGGGACCTGGTCCCAAGGGTGGCAGTCAGATGGGGAGACGGTCTCTGCAAACCAAGGCTTTCCTGCTCTGGAGAAGCAGTTCCCATTCACCATGCTCTGCTGATGGGGAAACGGGGACCAGGGGTATCAGAGAGGTGGGATCAGGCGGTCTCTAGAGAATCACATGGGCCCCTTGTTCAGGGTGAAGACAATGGCAGAGGCTGAGACAAGAGGGAGTCAGAGTAGGAGGAGGTGCCAGGAGGCCAGTTGTCCTGGGAGGGAACCGAACACCTAAGTCTCCATCATGCAAGTGCTTGAATGTTGTTCAAACTGTTCTGTTTCCTTCAGCCTCTGAAAATGGTGTCTGAGGCATTTTTAAACTGCAGATTTGCTGAAAGCAACAGTCTATGAGATGTTTTCTGGTACTGGATGCTGAAGTGTATTGAATAGTGTCCCCCCCAAATTCATGTCCACCTGGAACATTATTTGGAAATAGGGCCTTTGAGATGTAATTAGTTAAGGATCTCAAGATAAAGTCATCCTGGATAGGGTGGACCCTAATTCCAAATGACTAGTGTCCATAAAAGAAGATGAGAGGGACAGAGAGACCCTCAGAAGAAGGGCACGTGAAGACGGAGGCAGTGACTGGAGTGATGCAGCTACAAGCCAAGGAGTGGGAGGATTGCCAGAAACCCCCAGAAGCTAGGGAAAGGCAAGGAAGCATTCTTTCCTGGAGCATGGCCCTGAGACACCTTAATTTTAGACTTCTGGCCTTCAGAACTATGAGAGAATAAATTTCTGTTAAAGTTTAAGTCACAGGGGCCGGCCTGTGGCTCACTTGGGAGAGCGTGGTGCTGACAACACCAAGTCAAGGGTTAAGATCTCCTTACCAGTCATCTTTAAAAAAAAAAAAAAAGTTTACGTCACAAGTTTGGGATCATTTGTTTCAGTGGCCCTAGGAAGCCGGTACAGGTGCTGAGTTTCATCCAACCTCCTCCCATGAAGCTGGCAGGGGTGGGGGCGAGTTGCAGGGGAAATGGGGAAGAGAATGAAATTTCCCTTCTTGCCCCAGAGTCCATCAAAGCCTGAGGCCTCCTGCCCCAGCACCACTTGGAGAGCTTGTTCAAAATACAGATTCCTGGGTCCCACTCTCACAACACTGAACGAGAATCTGGAGGCCTCAGGAATCTGGATTTCTTTTTTAAGTTTTTGGACAAGTTTGGCATTTTAAAATGAAATTAACCAAAATAGGAAAATAATGAGTAAAGAAATAAAAAGCCTGTTCTCATCCAGGATTCTTATATGTGGGTCTCCTCTGAAGACCATACAGGGAGTTCATGAATGCTTTTCAGGGAGTTCCCTGATCTCCGTGAAATTGCATATTTCATGTTGTGTGTTATCAATATATTTCCAGGACAGAGGGCATATCAGATTTTGGGTCTGTGACTACTTTTCTAAAAATAGAAAAAGAAAAGGATATCACTAAGTATGTTAATTAAGCAGATTGTTAGAACAGCCTACTAGGTTGTCATTTAGGGGATGGGATATATTACATTTAAGAAATGCAGACTTTTATGGTGGGCTCTTGTGACTGGGGTCTGTGTAGAAGACTGTACGGGTTAGGAATGTGTTAGGCTGCAGAATATCTGCCTTAAACAATACATTCTTTTCACTAATTGGACGACTGTGGGTTAGGTGCCACTAAGAGTAACTCAGAGGGTCGCTGATGTCGGCATGACCCAGGCTCCTTCTTTCTTTCCTCTCTACCCTTCTTAGTATCTTGGCCTTTGGTTCTCGTGCATCTCAGTGTGTGGCCTCAGGATGGCTGTCATCACTCCAGGAATCATATCAGGGTTGAAGGTGGGAAACAATGTGGGGAGGGGACGCACCCTTGGCTCTCTTAATCCTGTCATTTTTGTAAAGAAGCAAAAGTTTTCTCAGAAGCCCCCTGCCATGTAAGACTTCTCTTAGAGCTCACTGGATAAAGTTGGCCTCATGGCTACGCCTCGCTTTAAGGAGCTGGTACAGGTCGAGCTCCCACGGCAGTTCTCATGTGGATTCTCTAACCCCTGCTTGTTCTTTCTTTTCTGCTGTAGGTGGAGAAAGGAAGCAGGGAAAGCCAAGACTTCCCCTTTAATCTATTCTCGAAGTCTTGGTAAAGCGGACTAATTTAACTGTGTCCAAGAGAAAGGGGACAGCTGCTAAGGGACGGTCACCCAAAGATGGGGGAGGGAGAGTGGCACAAACCACCGGGAGGGCTCACGACTCCCGGTGGGGATTCAAAGTGGTCTCTGCAGAGGGAAATGAAGAATTAGTGGGGAAAAGCCAAATTATGCCTTAGCCTGTTAAAAAGGTGTCCTAATCATTTTTAGACAAACATCTGCCATTATCATAGCTTACCTTTTTAAATAAAGTGGTATTTTTGCTGAATCAGTAGAGAAAAATCCATGGCTATGAATCTGAAAGGGCCTGTGCCCTTGGTGGCTCAAACGTAACCCCCGCCCCCTATGAAATCATCCAGGAATAGACCCCTCCTAATAAAGAACCCCACAACTTACGTCATCATAAGTGGCACCGTCAGCTTTTTGGAAGCAGAAATTAATATCCTGCAAAAGCCGACAGCAGATATTATTGTGGGGTCTCAGAAGATATTGAAACAGCTCAGCCTTTTGGAAAGGTGAGAAATTTACAAATGCCTGCTAAGAGCCAGGCCCCTAGGATCTGGTCCCTACTTCAAAGGGCTCCCAGTCTCAGGTCTTCCCTGGAGGACCTCCCTCTGTCTATTTCCTACGTTTTCCTGGAGGTCTTCCACTCCACAGGATGGATTAGGCTGAAGGTGACTATTCATGGTGCAGGCCAGAGAGAATGAATGTCTGCCCAGTGGCCTCCCATGGTATGATTGGGGTCCTCACGAGTCCTTTCTGCCATCCTAAGGGAGGTGGGCAGAGGACCCACCACACTCTGCTCTGTCCTACCTGTTTTAACTGAGTGTTAACACAGCAAAGGTCTTTAAAAAAATCAATGATCTGCATATAGAGCTGGAACTTTTCCTCTGGATTTTCTGGGTTGCAGCTGGCAAACACTGAACTGACAACAGAAAGAAAGAAGAAACAGCAAATATTTAGAATCCTCATCTTTCACCTCTGCTTGGCAGCCCCCTTCTTAAAGTACTTGAATTACAGTGTGAACCAAGCACTTCTAAACAGCCAGTTGAATTCTCGGACAGCCCCGAGCTCTTCTTGAAAGGTCTGCATTGCCTCTGCTCAAATGTCACATCCGGAATTCCCTGGAAAAGCGAGACTACGGTGAGGCTGGCTCTTGTGCCCTAATGTCACGTTCTAAGCATCGGCCTCTGGAACAAGGGAGCAAGATTTCCTCTGCCCCAAGTCCTCCTGCTACAGCACTGCCCCATGGTCTGGTTCTGCCTGTGGCTGCCGAGGCAGCTCATTACTCATTTTGAGTTCAGACAACGAGATGCCCCCAATCGGTGAATCTAACACGTAACTCAAGACTTGGCATGGCACGGAAAGGAGGCCTGTTTTGCAGGCTCCTTTCCCAATGCCTTCCCGGGAAAAGGGGGAAGCCCAGTGCCACTGGGGCCTTTGAGATACAGGCTGTGAGTCATACGGTACAGCTGGCATTTTGACCTCACTTCTTCCTGGGGTGAGCTCCCACAGTCTGGTTGGGAACTCTCTGGCAGCAATCCCTGCCTTTTCTACGGAAAAAAATGTTAACAGATTGCTTTTTTGTTCCATCAGCTGGGTAAGGAGCTCCAATTACTGCCTGAGAAGTACACTTTAAAAACTTCTCGACAAAGTGCAGAAATAGGAACATCTGCTTCCAGCCAGTTTCAGCAAAATCAAACTCCACACACAACTGAGAGGAGCTTAAGTCACTACAAGATCGCTGTGGAGTGGACACGGCCCTTCCCTTTCGATCCCACTTCTCCCCAAGTCTGTCTACCCTGGGTGGGGCAGGTGGATGGGGGAGCAAATGCTGATGTCTGCTTTGCCTGAAGCTCTGCTCAAAGGCCGCCAGGTTACCAGGGACAGTGGTGGCTGCATGGCTTCACAGACCACCCGTAAGCCAGGTCCCCATCAAGAGCACAGTGGAGATATTCACTGGGATCACAGGGACATGACCAGTCACCCTCACTCCCAAGGCAGAAAAATCAAATGTCCAGGCCTCTTTATAGCCGTGACATCAGCACAGGTATCTGAAGGACCTGTCCTGAATGTGTACCCCCAAGATCCATATGCTGAAAGCTAATCTCCAATGTGATGATATTAGGAGGTAGGACCTTTGGGAGGGGAGTAGGTCATGAGGATGGAGCCCATATGAATGTGATTAGTGCCCTTATAAAAGAGACCCCAGAGACAGACCTCGTCCCTTCTGTCACATGAGGTTACATTGAGAAGGTGCCATCTATGAGGAATGGGACCTCACCAGACAATCTGTCAGCACCTTGATCTTGGACCCCAGCCTCCAGAACTGTAAAATAAATTTCTGTTGTTCATAAGCCACCATCTATGATATTTTGTATAAACAATGGACTTATAGCAGGGCAGCCCTAAGCAGGGACAAGCAGGACTAAGACATACTGGGAAAACTGTGCAAAGTACCAGATGTGCTGCCACAACCTTGAGCTGATAACCTGGTGTGTCCCAGCCCTGTGCCAGGATGGAAGAATTTTCTACTCTGAGGACACCCCAGACAATGACATCCCCAGACTAGGACCATCCACTTCCAATAACAAGAAAAAATGGATCCCCAAGAATTTCCACTGAATTATGCACCCATCTGGGAAGAGGAGAGGCTCCTAAACATCAGGGGTGCACACGCAGGTGTGTGCACACACACACACGTGTTCTCTCTCACACCTGCTTCCTTACCTAGGGCTAGATGTACTTGGAGCCTCACTTTTGTCTAGGAAACTCGCCACATCAAATGCATCTTCAAAAAGGATCTGAAAGAAAGCACAGAACTTCACATGGCAGCAACAACTCCACAGTTTGATGCTTGCTCTAGGCTGCTGGGGGAGCGGAGAGTAGACAGGCCCTCTCTCTTAAGCCCGCATCCCAAAAGGGCATCCAGAGCAAAGCTGGGGCCCAAACCCAGGGGCTCTGCTTGGTGGTCTTCCCGGGGGTGAATATTAAGTTCTTGACTGCCCCAAGCAAAGTGCCAGCCCTGGAGGTGGCTGAGAGGTACGGGAAGCACTGGGGACTGTGTCTCCTCTTTCTAAAGAAGGTGGGAGCTCAGGCGTGAGATGTAACAGCCAGAGCCTTGATTTACAGCTGGGAAAGACTCATCTAAACCCCCCAAGGAGAGACTATTTAAGCCCAGGAGCCACAATTGAGCAGTTTCTTGCCAGCGCAGCTGAATACAGAGGTTAAAGGAGCTCTGGGGTTAGGCTGCAGGAGGACCAACTCCCAGCCCTGCCACTGACTGGCTGTGTGACCTTGAACAAGTTGCTTAAGCACTTCGGTCCTCCTCTACAAAACAGGAATCACAACTGTTATGGTTGAATGCTTGTCCCCTCCAAAACTCATATTGAAATTTAATTACCATTGTAACTATTTAGAGGTGGGGTCTTTAAGAGGTGATTAGGCCATAAGGGCTCTGCCATCATGGGTAGGTTTAATGCCTTTTAAAAAGGGCTTTTGAGAGTGGATTCTCTCTCTAACCTTTCACCATGTAATGACAGAGCAGGAAGGCCCTTGCTGGATGCCAGCACCTTGATATTGAGCTTCCCAGCCTCCAGAACTGTGAGCCAATAAATTTCTGTTTATTATAGATTATCCAGGCTCAGCTATTCTGTTATAGCAGCACAAAATGGACTAATACAACAACAGTGTCTACTTGTAGGATTGTTGCAATTAGTCTTGCTATTTAGACAGATTTTGGTCTTGCCATTTCCTAATTTTTTTAAGAATATTAAATATTCTTCACACTTCAGATGGTCAGATTTAGCAAATAAAAATACTGGATGTCTACTTAAGTTTGAATTTTAGATATAGAACAAACAATTTTTTAGCATAAAAATGTCCCAAGTATTGCATAGGACATTCTTATCCTAAAAACTTAACTGGGTGTGCTTTATTTTCTCTGGTACCACATTTATGCTGGCAGCTACCCCAAGGAGAGGAGAGGAAGTTCTCTGGCCCTGAGTTGGCAGGTGCTGGCAGATCCCACCAAGGCCTCTCCTCACCCCTACCTGGGACACACTGCTCTTTCCCCAGAGGACTTGTGTCTGCCCTCTAAGTCCTTTCAATTTGCTTTGCTGAAACTGAATCCTTCGGGACTTTGGCCATATGGATGGTCCCCTCCTAGTTTTCTGGACATTTTCTGGTGTCCTATTTGATTTCCCTTTGGTCACTTCAAAGAGGATCTGGAAAGGGGCCACAGAAAGGCCTGAGCTCCTGTGTGCATCAGCCCAGAAGCCCAGCAGCTCAACGTTTCCCCAGCAGGACTGAGACAGGGACCCGGGACCTACATTCCTGTCCTCTACCAATCTTCCCACCAAAGTTGCAGGCCACACATTGTCCTCATGGATGCAAACTCCTCTCACAAGCCAGCCTGGGAAGAGAAACCCAGGCCAGGCTCTGTGGCTCTTCTGGAGTGCCCACCACAGTTACAGAGCCATGCCTCTCAAATCCTAAAAGGAGCTGTCCAGGGCCTTTTGGGCACACCTGACCTTGAGTCCGTGGACTGGCCGACACATAACTGTCTGCAGTAGAACCTCTCCAGATGAGCCAGGAGCTGCAGCTGTTTCACTGCAAGTGACGTAGAAGCCACAGCAGGAGTCACTATGGCTCTGTGCCTGCCTTGAGTGTGAGTGTTCTCTGTTCCGCTTACCTTATCACCCAGCCCTGGCCGGGCCCAAACCTGGGGACAGTGGTGCAGGCAGAGCCCTGGTCCTGGGCACAGCTGAGGGGATCTGCTGCCAGCTTCCCTGAACACCAGAAGAACATCAGCCCACAGCCCTCCCTGAAAGAGGCCAGATAAGCCATTTCCATGATTTGGGGACATTTGATTCTGGGTGTTTTCTCTTTGAGTCTGCTCTTCCTTGAGGAAGTGTTCATGCTGGCAAACATGCACACATGTACACACCCAGGTAGAGAGATTTGAAAAAATGTGTGATGAGAGAGACACAATCCCTGACACAGGAACTGAGTGTCCTGGGCACTCTCTAGAGGCCTGTAAACTGGAGGGACAGGACTAGGTGACATCTGCTGTTTTCCAAGCTTGGGCCTGATGGTTGTGGAAGTTTCCAGAAGGAGGGGGGCATTCCAGGACTGTATCCCGAGCGTCAGAGGCACTTGGAGGCTCTCTGGCTCTAAAACTCCACAGAGATGCCAGGAGACTAGCTTGACTGTCTCCTCAAAGGGACCACACACTGAGGGGCATTTGGAAAGTCAGGGCCAGGGGTGCGGGCCGTGGATGCTAAATGTCCTACAAAACACGGGACATGTGCAGAGAGTAGAGAAATGCCTGCCTCTGGGGTACAGGAGCAAGGGCAGCCTCCAGCCCTGTGGGAACAGCAGTTTTCTGAGACTCTCCTAATTCGGGAAGAGCAGCCGTGGGCCTGCTTTTATCTCAGTGCTGGTTGACTGCTAATGCCACCTGATGCTCTGCTTAAATGCTAAGAAATGCATTTGTAGTGGAAGTTGTGGTCACCTCCTTCTCACTGAGCTGCAGCAGTGCTCCTTGGGGTGGGACTGACCGCCTCTCAAGGACTGGGCCTGATTGGTCCAAATGGGATCCTTCCTTGATTGCCAGTCATTGGCTCAGTAAGCTGGCCATCTAGCTAATTAGAGGGGAGGAGAGGTGTGGTGGAAATTTCTGGAAAAGTTCTTCCTCCACTCTTAAGAAAGAGCCTTCAAAGGAAATCTTTCTTCCTCTTACCTGATGGAAAGGAGGAAGAACCGACAGCTCGATTGCTCCAGCTGCTCTTGTGCAGCCACAGGGAGGGGGAGAAGTGGGGAAGGGAGGGAAGGAGAGAAACCAGCCTTAAGATGAGCAGAGCAGACAGAAGGGAGGAACTGAGTCCATGGGGACGTCACTGAGCCACCCGACCCCTGAGCTGCCCGACTGACCCAGCCCGCCCTGCCTGGATGGGAGCAGTCCACGTCTTCATGGTTTCATAATCAAGTCACCCACAGCCAGAAGTGTCCCAACTAATACGACCTTCTAAAGCCTTCTCTCCTGTGATTCCCCACGGAAAGGCCAGGAAACTAACAGGAGATTCGGCAGCGCTGCCATGTGGTCACCGAGATCACGTGGAGGAAATCAGAGACCTACTGTGTGAGCCAGAATCCGAACAGCCCTGCAGCCTCGCTGAGTGACCCCGAGCCCAGCTCCGAGCCCCCACGGGGTCTGCTCACCTCCTCCGGGGTGGAGACGAGCGAGCAGCTGGCCCCCTGGCTGTCCACCCCGCTGTCCCTCACGCTGCCCTCGGCGCAGGGCCCCACTGGGCCCAGGAGGTGCTTCTGCGCGCAGGCCTGCAGGAGGCTCGCCTTGTGTTCCTCCGACAGCTTCTGCCACACGTGGGAGATGGCCGCGGAGACGATGGGCAGCGTCACCTCCAGCGAGGAGATGATCCCGTGCCCCGTCAGGAGGTCCATCGTCTGCTTGTAGAAGGTGAGGTACCTGGAACGGCAGCGGCACCCCCTCTCAGCCCCAAGGGTCGCGTCGCAGCGCGTCCTCAGGCTGCCCGCCTGGCCAGTCTCCGCGTGCCCCGACCCTTGGAGAGCAGAAGCCGTCCTGGGGGCCTCTCCCGGAGTCCTCCCGGTGCCCCGCCCCACCAAGCTCTCTGTCCTGTGGAAGAGGAGAGGTGTGGTGGCTCTGCTGTCATCCTATGGGGAAATGGCTTAAAATTCCGATCCCACGAAGGTGCAGGCATGATATGACTCCTGCTTTAATCTGGGGCCTGTAAGTCAGGCTTGGCTGTGGGGAGAGCCTCCTGCAATTCCAGCATTGGCCCCTGAGGGGTCTTGCATGTGTGTTTGTGTTGGGGGATGGGGCGGGCTTTAGCCTCTACCCAAGGCACCCCAAATAAACACCTAGTCTAAGTAAAAACAGTGTATGTGGTGTACAAATGTAGCTTCAGACTATATCTCCAGCCCCTCTGCCAATCCCATCCCTGAATGCCTCCTATATGGAAATTCTGGAACTTTCATGATCAGGGCCCTGTCCCAGTTGGAGCCTCTGTCCCCTTTCTCAGGGGAGCTCCATCGGTGCACCAAGCCATCCCACCCAACTGTTCACACCGTTCAAATTCCATGAGGTCTGGTGACAAAGTGACTAGGGAGTGTGAGGGCTCCGCATTTTTCTCCTCTTCTTTCTGCTCCTCCTTCTGTTCCTCTTCTTGGTCCTCCTCTTCCTCATCTTCTCCTTCCTCAGCATCCTTCCCAACTGCCTCAGTTGGGCACCAGAGGAAGGAGCCATTCAGAGGAAAACTGTTCAAGACCAGGCTGGGGGAGAAAACAGAAACATGGCTCCTACAGACTAATGTCCTTCATGAACATGGACAGACATTCTTAACACAATTTTAGCAACAATATGTATAATCCAACTATATATATATGTATCAGAAAATGTTAAAACATCATGACCAAGTGAGCTTTATCCTAGGAATGCAAGATGGCTGGTTCAGCATTTGAAAACCAGTCAATGTAATTCACCATATCAACAGACTAAAGAAGAAAAATCATATAATCATCTGACAGATGCAGAAAAAGCAGTGGACAAAACTGACATCCATTCATGATAAAAACTCTCAGCAAACTAGAAATAGAAGGCAACTTCCTTAACCTGATAAAAAACCTATAGTTAACATCGCACTTGATAAAAGACTGAGTGTTTCCTCCCTAAGATCAGGAATAAGACAAGGACATGCACTCTTACCACTTCTCTTCAAAATCACACTAGAGGCTCTGGCCAGTCCAGTCAGGTGAGCAAAAGAAACAAAAAGTATACAGACTGGAAAGGAAGAAGTAAAACTGTCTTTATTTGCAGACATTGTGATTATCTATGTAGAAAATCCCAAAGAATCTATAAACGTGTGACTAGAACTAAGAAGGGAACTTAGCAAGGATGCAGAATATGAGGTCAATATAAAAGAATCAATAGTGTTTCTATACACTGGCAATGAACAATTGGAAATTGGCATTTAAAAAGTGCCATTTACAATATCACCAAAAACCATAAAATACTTAAATTTAAACCAAAAGCTTAATCTATATTTAGAACATTAGTAATAATGTTCCCCTTCCAGCATCTGTGACACCTGGGTGTACTATGGTTCCTTTTCGTCTTTGAAGTCTAATTTGGCTTTTCTTAGGTTCCCATGAGACTTGGAATTTAGGCTGATTTGTATTTTCCTTATTTTCATGTGTATCCTCCAATAAAACCATTAGTTGAGGGTTTAAAAAAATATATATACATATAGAAAAAGCTATAAACACTATGAACGATATGAACACTATGACCTCATTTCTCTAAAAAATAATGTGCAAAATTTAATAAAACCCAGATGGATATTTTAAAAAATTAACATTGATTTTCTTTGCGATGTGAGATGATAGATATTTTTGGGCTTTACTATATTTTCTACATTTTCTATAGTAAGTATGACTCATTTTTATAATCAGGGAAAAGCCCAATGTGTGTTACTAGAATAAAGTATGAAAGATTGATCTCCAGCATAAGACCGTTCTAAACAGGTGAGCGGCAGCCCTGATGTCCTTCCTGTGCGCTGGAGGAGGGTGAGCCGCTCTAACACAGCACCTGCTGTGCTCAGGACACAGTGGCAGTTTCCCATTCTCCTGGAGTTTTCCAGGTCTCACCTGTCATTTCTGGAGTACAAGCTGGCATATTCTTTCCTGACCTCCTCTAAGGTGTTTGCATTTCCATCTTCCAGGTTGAAAGATTCTATCGAGGAGTTGAAGGCAAGGGTCACAGAGTAGAAAGTCAGAACCCCCCCTCCGGTCTTTCCCGCCTTTTGGGACCTGGTGGACCATGGTGAGCTCCTGTACTCTCCCAGGGACAACGTTAGGGAGTTCAGAGCCCAGTTCCCACCTCTCCTTCTGTGTGTGAGTTGAGAGCACTAGACAAGCTCCCATCCACTTTTGCTCTGGCCTCTCGAGGCGGGATCAGGTGCCTTCCACAACACCCCCATAGGGACCTCATCAAGTTCACACAGCCTGGCGACTCCTGCTGGTTCTGCCAGACTGCAAGCTCCCTGAGGACGGGTGCATGACCCTCAACCTTAGCCCAAGCACGTGCCTGGCATACAGTAGGCCCTCAGTAAATACTGTTGACTTGGTGTAAACCGATCTCTCTGTTTTCAATAGGAAAACCGAACCAGGCTTATCTAGGGAGGGAGATGGGGGTGGCAGGTTGGATCTATTACCTTTCATCTTCAGCAAATTATCCAGGGTTTGTTCCAGTTCCTGAATATGATTCTTCGCCTTATTCAGAACCTGCCACTGAGGACAGAGACAGACAATGCTGAAAAGCTGGCCTTTCACTGCAGAGACTGGATTTGTGGACCCAGGAACCCCTTCCCTGAGACCATGCTCCCTCAGATGCAAAGTCAATCCCTTGACACTGTCAATAAAAAGGACAGGCAGTTGTTCTAATGCACAGAAGGCCGACGTTTTATTCATATCTGATAGAGTTTGGATGTGTTGTCTTCCCAGAACTCATGTGGAAATTTGATCCCCAATGTGGCAGTGCTGGAAGCTGTTTGAGTCATGGGGACAGATCCCTCATGAATGGATTAATGTTCCCTGAGGGTTGAGGGTAGTGAGTGAGTTCTCGTCTGTTAGTTCCCAACTAAAAGACCTCGGCCCCTTCCCTCTCTCTCTCTTACTTCCTCTCGCCATGTGATCTGCTTGTACCCACCGGTCACCTGCAGCTTTCTGCCAGGAGTAAAAGCTGCCTGAGGCCCGCACCAGATGCATCTGTCCCAGAATCATTAGCCAGATAAACCTCTGTTCTTTATAAATTACCCAGTCTCAGGTTTTCTGTTATAGCAACACAAAACGGACTAATACAATATCCTAGAAATGGATTCTTACTGAAATACCAAGTATTTGGAAACAAACTTTGTTCAGCTAACTACTAGTGCTGCAGAAAAGCAAATGACTATAGAGGCTGCTTGAAGGTGAAATAAAGGGGACTGGGAGGCTTAGTCTGAATGAATGTCAACCCCAGGTTTTCACAGAGGCACAGAGCTAGACTTTGCTCAGTTATAACAATGTGCAACTGGCTGGTTAATATTAACGTACTATTCTTACAATATTTTTATTTGCTAAATGCATACACTCTAGATGCTTTAAAAACTTACCAAATGCTTTGTCAACTTAAACTCTGAATTTTCCCCTTCTCCCTTCCTCCCTCTCTCCCTCCTTTCGTTTGTTCCTTCCTTCCTTCCCTCCTTCCTTCCTTCCCTCCTTCCTTCCTTCCCGTATGTAACATTATTAAAGTCAAAATGGTAACTGCAATATTATTCAAAAACAAGAAATGCTAAATGGTGTTAGGCTGACTGCCTCTATCTGTCAGGGGTTACAGACATTCCTCGAGCCCATTTAAGGTCAAAGCTGTGTGCTAAGCCCCCTGGACACAAGGTAAGTAAGACTGACCCCGCTTTTAGGGTGCTGAAATTCTAACAGGGAAGACAAGCATGGGAGCCTCTCCTCTCTACACAAGATAGAATTAAGTAAGTGCTAACCAGGGGTAGAAGCAGAGGGCTGTGGAAATTTACAACTGGAGGGGAATATTCCAACTGGAGAGGACAAGAAGACTCCGTGGAGCAGGGCAACTGAACAGAGCGACTGAGCTGACCTTTGAAGTGTGCACAGAATCTCAAAGGCAGAGCTAACTGCATGGCAAAAACAAAGAGGCTACCAGGAGAGGCGGGCCTCGCTCAGGGAACAGTGGCAGTGAGGTGTGGCCAGCGTGCATGAGGGAAGAGGGGGAAGAGAGTGCAGTGGTGAGGGGGGTACTGGGAGGGGACCCCAAGGCAGCTAGGGGACAGCACCCTGAGTTTTGCAATTCTAGATTCCTAGGGATTCTGACTCACGTCCGAAAGGAGACTTGGCGGGGGGTGGGGGGTTGGGGGGTGGAGCTGGAGGCACAGTGCCCTGCTGACCCAAAGAGAAAGCAATGGGAATGACAGCCATGCAAGAACCCAGTGACTGTAAGCTCTCTGAACACTCCTTTTAGAGCAAGGTCTACCCCATGCTCCCACACATTCTGCTGTCCCTAGTCCTGGGGCTCATGATTACACTGCTGGGTCAGCAAGGACTCCACACCCTCTTTGCTATCAGGGGACAACTGGTTGCCAGGATCCTGGGCTTGTTCTTAGGGTAAGAAGATGATTCTCTGTCTACCATGGTCAGAATGTTTGTGTCCCCCACAAATTCGTATGTTGAAACCTAATCCCCTGATATCGATTTTTTATGTATTAGAAGCTTGATCCCTGCTGTAACTGTTGGGAGGGTGGGAAATCCTATTATGGTAATTGAAAGGTAGGGATTTGAAGAGGTGATTGGATTCTGAGGACCATGCCCCAATGAATGGATTAATTATGGTGGTCATGGACGTGGTTCCAAGGGCTTTAAAAGGAAAGCACATGAGAGTCTCTCTCTCTCTACTTCCACCATTCTGCTGTGTCAGACCCTGTGTTACTGTCACCACCAAGGCCTTCACCAAATGTGTTCCCTGGACTTTGGACTTCCCAGCCTCTGAAACTGTAAGCAATACATTTCTTTTATTTACAAGTTACCTGGTTCCAGATATTTTGTTATAAGCAACAGAAATAGACTAATACATCCCCAATGAGATAGTATTAAGAGGTGGGGCCTTTGGGAGGTAATTAAGTCATGAGGGCTCTGCCCTTAGTGATTAGAATGAGATTAGTGCCCTTATAAAAGAGGGAGCTTGTTCACCCCTTCCATCACATGAGGATACAGCAATAAGGTACCATCTATGAACCAGAGGGTGAGCTGTTCCTTAATCTTGGACTTCCCAGCCTCCAGAGCTGTGAGCAATAAATTTCCATTGCTTATAAATTACCCAGTCTAAGGTATTTGTTTACATCCCAGCAGGGGTGGCAGCTTTAGGTCAGTCCCCACCTTGCTCCATAGTCCCTCCACATATAGAAACACCTCCTCCCCCATACCCAGTCCCCATACCTTTGAAGCTGTGAAATCAGACTGGGGGTAAATGGTCTTCCTGAGGTCGTTGAAGAGCACTGACATGGTGGCTCGGTGGCGGGCCTGGGACAGGCGTCTCCGGGCCAACCGTGGCTCAAGTTTCCTTGGCTGTGCCAGTCGCTGGGCTGTCACTGTGCCACTGGGGTTGCTGCCTTCTCCAGGGGTTGCCATTATGAGCTGCAATGTAATATTATGCTTTTTTTTTTGCCCTAAATAATAAAAGTACATTATTAAAGAAAAAGGAAGGCAGACCAAAGCAGACAGAAAGGAGTAGCCTCCCAAGTAAAAGGTTCCAAACCAATGAATATATTCAATAACAGATACAAAATAAATCATGGATGATGCAAAATCTGTTATTGAAGCTCAAGTCCTAAAGTCATAAGGCACCCATATGGGACTTACAGTTGAGGGGCACTGGAGATTACCCAAGGAGGTTTCCAGCACATTGCAGGTACTCACCAGACACATGTTAATTTCCTTTTTTTAAAAAAAGAGATGACCGATAAGGGGATCTTAACCCTTGACTTGGTGTTGTCAGCACCACGCTCAGCCAGTGAGTGAAGCAGCAATCCCAATATGGGATCTGAACTTGTGGCCTTGGTGTTATCAGCACCGCACTCTCCCGAGTGAGCCACGGGCCGGCCCTGACACATGTTAATTTCAAATGTGGTACTCACCAGATATTTCTTTTTTTAAAAATTTAATTTTTTATTTACTAATATACAATGTAGTTGATTTTTGTGTCCCTTTACCAATTCCTCTTTTCCTCCTCCCTCTCTCCCCTCCCCCCATCAACATCATATCTGTTCACTTGTCTTAACAAGTTCAAGAGATTGTTGTGATTGTTGTGTCATCTTCTCCCCACCCCCCACCATTTATTTGTTTGTATATTTATTTATTTATTTATTTTTAGCTCCCACAAAATGGTGCAGCCTCTATGGAAAATAGTATGGAGGTTCCTCAAACAACTGCAGATAGATCTACCATATGACCCAGCTATTCCACTGCTAGGAATATACCCAGAGGAATGGAAATCATCATGCTGAAGGGATGCCTGTACTCCAGTGTTTATTGCAGCACTATTTACAATAGCCAAGAGTTGGAACCAGCCCAAATGTCCATCATCAGATGGGTGGATAAGGAAAATGCAGAATATCTACAGAATGGAATTCTACTCTGCTATAAAAAAGAAGGAAATACCACCATTCGCAGCAAGATGGATGGACTCACCAGACATTTCTTAATTTCAGGTGTTAATTTCAAGTGTATGTAGCCAAGGAGGGCAGCCATACCCTGAGATCTTGGGTTTCACAGTCTGTTCAAAGCTGAACAGGTATGTTCCCCACCCTGTGAGGTCTTTCCTACCTTGAGAATGCCCCCTCTTTGATCTGGGTAGTGATCACATGGGTGTATACATATGAAAAAATCCATCAAGGTGTACACTTTAGATTCATGAACTTTTCTGTGAATATATTATACCTCAAAAAGAAAGAAGAGAAGGGAATGCACTCTACCACCTGCGAAAGCAAGAAGTCACCTGACGACAGAGAAGCAGAAGTGGACTTGCCTTGTCTTGCTTCTGGTAGATTCTGGAGATGATCATTATGTTGTCTTTTGTAACATCTGAGCTTACAAATGAGGAGCCCTTCCCTAGGTGAGGTGATTCTGGGACATATATATATTAGTTTTAATTAGACAGGGGCTCAGGCCTCTTATCCGGGTCATGGACCCCTCCATCGGGGGTCACTCCACCACTCAAAGGACAGCTGCTCCCCACTGCCCTGCCAGCTCTTTGAACAAAGGGCTGCTTCTTCGTCACCTCTGCACCCCTGTGCCTAGCCCAAAGCCCAGCCCCCAATAGGAGCTCCATGCTGGGGTTTTGGAGGAATCAGAATGGGAGGTCTCCGCTGGGTCCACTCTCCCCTGAGCTCAGTCCTGCTGTACAGGGGCAATGCATGATTTTGATCAGGAGTTTGTCAATTTTGATATATGTCAGTCACCTGGGGAGACTGTTCAAAATATACATGGCCATGCCCTGTCTTGAAAACACCTGATCTGAATCTGGGTGGGCCCAGCATCTGTGTGGACAACATACTCCCCAGGTGATTCTGACACTTTTGCAGTTTGAGAGCTGCCACTAGGGCACCACAGCTGATAGCAGCTGGGAACAGAATCTCCTCCATGAAGGGAATATTGGGGAAAGGAGATGGAAGAAACCTTTCCTACTACATTTTAGCAGAAAGAATCGGCCAAAGAGATAGTGAACCCACTCAGACAGTGTGGGAATTTAAGTTTTTAGGTCAGAAAGCAAATGTCTCATTGACGATGGGGTCTTCACCAGCGTATATGTCAACTTTTCCTCGCTTTGCTTCTCAGAACAGTGGCAGGAGGATGGTGACTGGGTGACAACTGTAGTTGCCTGTGCTGATCCCTGCAAGCCTCCGTAACATTTATTAGCGGAGGTTACACCACAGTACCTTCCGAGGAGGACAGCCACGAGATCTGCAGAGGCCACCGCGGTCCAGCTACAGAGCTCTGTTAGACTAGAGGCCATGCCCTTATAGTGTCCAATTTCCAGAAATCAGCTAATCTTTATTAGGAAGCAAAGTGAAATAGTGAAGGTTTTGAACCCCAGGGAAAAATGGGAAACTTTTGAATATAAGAACATAGGTGTTCTCTACTTGTTTAAATTAAAGAGAAACATGTGCCTGGACACGAGGGAATTTAATTCGATAGACACAGAAAGGGAAACTGATGAGAAACATTGTTCCATGAGGGCCCTTCAAAATGTTCATGGAGAAAATGGAATTAAAAGATAATAGAAGTATTTCCATGAACTTTTTGAAGACCCTCTCGCACATGAACAGAGGTATAAAAAATACCATGGTCCTCCCAGGATTTCAAATTTGCCAATAGTATCAGAATACTGATACCAAAGGCCTCTGGGCTTATGGGGAGTCTGGAGCTCTCCCAATGCCAATGCTGGTAATTTGGGTTTTTTTCCCCCTGGCTTCCACACAAACATACTGCCTGAGGTGTCCAGATGGCTGTGTGGACAGTTTCAGTCAGTAGATAAGGGTGCAGCTCTCTGCCTCTCCCATAGGGAGCAGACTTTCCCATTACCTGCTGCCCCTAGGGCTGTGGGCCTTCCCACCTGCCTCCAGGAGCGGGGACAGCACCAGAGCATCCTAGCTAGCTGCTGGGAGCTGTGGCCCCCACATTGCCCCGGTCAGGAGCTGGAAGAAAAATATGCCCCTGGGGTTTGCAGGGGAAACACTGCCAAGAGATGGGAGAAGATCCTCACACTCTGCTTCAAGGCGAGAATCAAGTCCAGTAGATATTAAACTTCATTAGACCTTGTGTGATTGTAAATATCCTCCCCCTAAATGCCGCCTCCCACTTCCCAGCAGGGATGATTTTGCTATGATTCCCAAAAGGCATTCTTTCCAAGTTATTTTTATTGACTTGGAAATTGTTTTCTTCTCTGTGGCCATGATAGGAGCTTAAGTTGATATTTTTCAGACAGAGCTTTTTATTGCAGTAATACAGTTAGGTCTGTCCCATCACACCTGTGATTTGTGGGAGGGGCTGGCTTGCCTAGGACAGTGCCACAGAAATCACCATCTCGTTGCAAGACCCTCCTCCACCTTATTCCAAGATTATCTCTTCTGCTAGGAAAAGGGGAACGGAACATATTGTGAAAGGTGGAATATAGTTAATATTGTACAAATGAGGTCAAGCGACCTTTTATTTAAAGACAAAAATCTTTTCTCCTAAAAGCCTTCTGCAAATGCAAAGTGTGTTAAGGAAACTGCTATAAAGTTAAAGCAATGTGAAGAAAGTAGAGCAGTGTATAGTCTAGAACACCATCCCTAGGGCCTGGAAACCTGCATTTTAATAGTCTTGCAAACTAAGAATCTCCCCATTTCCTCTTTCTCTCACTTTTGTTCTTTAACAAAGAAAGTTTGCTCTCCTGCCCACCAACCTCCATTCTGTGGCCCATGGCCTTTCCTCACTCTGTCACCCCTTTCTGTCCCCCCCTCCCCACCTCCCAGTTTCTACCTATCCAGCCAACTTATCCTTCAATTTCCAGTTTAAGTCCCAAATCCTCTAAGAAGCTTCCTAGACCCAGGTCACACTGGTTTCTAACTTAATCTTATTTTCCAACAAGTCAGGTTAGAATTCATGTATTAATTGATGACGTCCCTCCCAGGATGCTGTACTATGGACAGGCATAAATGATTAACTCAAACACTCCCTTTCTTGGCTGCTTCTCCCAGACTAAAATCATGAAGAGTTCTATTGGCTGGACCACTGAGACAGCATCTCCCAGGTATGGAGACGAGCTGGGGTTGAATGAGCTAAAGGAAAAAGAAGACGAGTATGAGAAAAACTAGAGAGGGTAGGGGGAGGACCAACATCTTAGTTCCTCTGTAACCCAGAAGACCTCTCTGAATCCCAAGCATTCACTCGCTCGTGAATTCAATTCTTGGCAAGATTCACAGTGAGAGGCAATACATTTGAGAAGCTGAAAAAAGCCCATTGAAGGTGTTACTGGCCAATTGCTACATAAGAAAGGTAGGGAGAGATTATACACAGGCAAGAATCTGGATGTTCAATTCTGACTCAGGAAACTGTGCATGTTTGGAATTGGCAAGATTCACAGTGAGAGGCAATACATTTGAGAAGCTGAAAAAAGCCCATTGAAGGTGATACTGGCCAATTGCTACATAAGAAAGGTAGGGAGAGATTATACACAGGCAAGAACCTGGATGTTCAATTCTGACTCAGGAAACTGTGCATGTTTGGAAAAGTGAATGTGAATGTTTGGGTATCTAAAATGTGTGAGAATTGAGGGAACTCAGTACAGAAATAGTAGTTTGAAGGAAGCTGGTCTTCAGAATCTAGGGATGGGGGGACGATGCAGGGACACACTCAGAGATGGTATATGGCCAATGGATGAACTGGTGGAGGTAAAGGCGGGCTGGATTATGGATTAGCTGGTGACCTGGGTCATAACCCTAGCTTTAAGTTAACTAGCGTGTGATTGTGGATGAGCCAAGAAACCTCTTTAGGTCTGAATTTCTTTATCTGTATAAAGGAGGGGAAAATTCTTTAACTTGATTATAGTCTAAACGTTTTCACTTTTAAAAGGTCATGGTCCTGATTCT